GTGAGTAAGGTGCAGTACGCTCGTGTATTATACCTACACTCGCACAGAAGTCACCAATAGGTACTTCGTACTCACCACCTTGATCGCTTCTAACTTTCTTAATCTTACGATTAAGTTGGTTTTCAACTTCATTCTTATAAAGAATGAATTTTTCCAAGGCTTCGTACTTGCTTTTAAGCAAATACACATAGCAATAACGTGTGCTATCGTCGATAAATGTGATAAAATATTTATTACCACCTCTCGTTTGTATCGATCTAAAATCGCACAAATCACTATGGATTAATTCTAGTGGTTCAGTTTCCCTTTCAACCGATTTGAAAGGTACTTTCGTTAATTTTGCCTCAACACAAATTTCACATTTGTTATTTGTGTTAATTTGAAAATTAGGAATATGGTCCATGTTAATTAATCTACGTATAGAATTATAATTAACGTGACCTAGTCTACCATGCCACAAATTGGAAGACTCAAGCAAGTAAACGGAATTAACTTTGCTCTTAGGCATTACATTGAGCTTAAAAAGCCCATCAGTTACATAACCTTTGCCTACAAACATTCCTAACTTAGACAAAACAACCTTGTCTGACTCGAACACCATGCGAAAGCCATGCTTGTTCAACAGTGAGCCAGACACCAGATTCTTCCTCAGCTCTGGAACATACAGCACGTTGTTCAACGTCAGTTCCTTCCCGGAAGTCATCTTCAGAACCACCTTGCCCACGCCTTCCACAGCAGACTGAGCAGAGTTTCCCATCCAAACCTTCTCGCCCTCAACGGTCTCAAAGGTGTTGAACATTTCTCGGTTGCAACACAAGTGCCTTGTTGCACCAGTGTCGATGAACCACTCTCGTGGGTTAGAGTCCACGAGGTTCACCTCGGTCACCATAGCCGAAAGGCTAATCTCGACCTCCTTCTGATTGCTTTCCTCAACCATGTTGGCTTCAGAACTCTTGTTCTTCTTCTTTGGAACTTTGCACTCAGAGGACTTGTGGCCAGTCTTGCCACAATTGAAGCATTTTCCATGAAATTTCTTCTTGGTAATGCCTCCTTTCGGACCTAGCTTTTGCTTGTCCTTCTTGTTCTTCTTGGAGTTTTTAGCATGCTCCACAACATTGGCTTTAGCACCAATAGTGACAGAATTTCTTCCATCATTCGTCATGTTCCCCTCCTCAATTCGGAGTCGTTGGATCAGGTCCTCCAGGTTCATTTCCTTTCGCTTATGCTTAAGGTAATTCTTGAAGTCCTTCCACCCTGGAGGCAGCAAGTGGATGACAGATCCCACTAGGAAGGCTTCACTCAACGTCATGCCTTCGTCACGGATTTCATCAAAGATTAGTTGTAAATCTTCAACCTGACTTAGCACGGTTTTGGAATCAACCATTTTGAAGTCAAGGAATCGGCCAACCACAAATTTCTTTGCGCCGGCATCCTCACTTCGGTATTTATGATCCAAAGCTTCCCACAGCGTTTTCGCTGTGCCAATCTTGCGATATACATCGTATAATGCATCACACAATCCATTTAGGATGTAGTTTCGGCATAGGAAGTCCGAATCCTTCCAATAGCCAACTGCCATCACGGATTGGGCATCCTGTTCCCTTAGTTCGGGAACCTTCTCGGTCAAAAATCTCGCCAAGCCGAGAGTTGCTAGGTAGAACAACATCTTTTGTTGCCACCTTTTGAAATTCGATCCAATACCGGTGAATTTCTCGGGTCTTTCGGCCGAACCACTCGGTACCGTAGGTACCCGAGTCATGGGAATATATCCCTCGGTGCTCCCACCATCTTGTGAACCAACGTTCACTGGTGTAGCCTGGGAATTAGCAACATTATTGCCATTCCCACCACTGTTGTTCTCAACAACATTCTCCTCCCCGAGAGCTGGCAAAACTGGATTCTCCATTTCTTCTAGGAAATTAGAGATAAACAACCAACGGGAAACGGATATAAGGTTTTAAGATTGTTGGGTAATATGGTTGAAAATTCCCAAAATTAATAATCCTACGAAAAGATTAATATTATATGGGAAAACAGAAACAATTGGGAAGGAAAATGTTGAGTGTTTGGGTAAAGGTTTAGCACGAGTTCGAACACAAAGTTCTTTTCCTAAAACCTTATTTGCTACCTCCCACAAGTGCTAGGAGCGTTGTAGCCTAGGTTTCCCAGGATAAAACGTGCTACGATTCCTTGTTTAAGCACCTAAACAAGCAACCCGGCAAACAAAGCAAAGCTTAGAACACTGGTTGGCTAAAAGAAGAGAGTAGAGACAGAGTTTTGAGATGAAAAGCTACTGGAATTCCTTTTGTTTCTCATTGTGTAAAATGCTACTGCTTCTACCTTTCTTTATATAGGGATGTTGGAGTGATAGCATTCAACATGGTCATTAAATTGGTGTTAAAACCAATTGTGTAACACCTGTAACGGTCACCACTAAGTAGGATTAAACTCAGAATTTAAAAATTGGAATTAAAACAGTATTAATTCCGTAATAGATGAGTTTAATCTGTACAACAGGCTGAATTTTCGGGTTTCAGACCGTTGTGGTGCAGGTTCACACGAGAGCACACGGACCAGGCAACACGAGAGTACAACTCTCGTGGTCACAGATGCGCTCTCGGTGCACCACAACCTCTCTTGCTCCTCTGTAGCACGAGAGTAGGTGCTCTCGGTTCGGTTCTGGCCAGGCAACACGAGAGTACAACTCTCGTGGTCACAGATGCGCTCTCGGTGCACCACAACCTCTCTTGCTCCTCTGTAGTACGAGAGTAGGTGCTCTCGGTTCGGTTCTGGCCGAACCAAGTGACTATACCAGATGGAAAATGATACCGAAGTTAGGCATAACTTAGCCCGCAAGGCCAGCCCATTTCCAGACGACACTCGTGCCGGCGCACGCGAGCTCGGGCTTGAATCAAGCCTTTTCGATGTCCTCTAGTTGGATTTTGATTTGCACCCCCCCCCCCCCCGCGCGAGAGAGCCTCTATGCGATACAATTCTACAAGCTTGAAAAGAGCTCATGTATACAATGGGGGCAAATCTTGTTTCCAAACCAATGTGGGACAAAGTCCTACATTTTCCCTTCATTTCCCAACCTAAATGGGTCTACTTTGAGAATCAATATCTCATTCACCCATTATCCGTTTTGAACGTACAATATATCAATCTCTTCGTCTTACTACGAAGAATCCGAATCCACTTTGACCCGACCCAAATCGGAAGTGGACCCCACTGATAATTGTACCACAAAATAGCCACTTAATATGCCATTTTAAGCTAATTTTTCCAATATTACTGTATTAGTTGTGATGCACTTTGTAGTGTGTTTCGGTTGAAATCAATCACCAATGTTTCACATACAGTTCTAATTAGTCCATTCAACCGCATTTCAGACCAGCTTTGATCACCTGAATCAAGAACATGATAGAAATCAAATTTCCATTTAAGAGTATTTTGGGCATTTGAGAGGGAAAGTACCCTCATAAGAAAATTTTCATGCTATGAGAGCCTGAGACTCACCTAAAATGCAATGGAAGGACCACCTAAAACTTTAATTGAAATAAACCACAAGACACGGTTCTACATATAACGATTGGTTTCAAATAAACAAAATGTTCATTAAAATAATGAAATTACATATACTATATAAGTGGTGATTTTAGTGAAAGAATCTAAAATCTTGTATATTCCTAATAAAGTTAATTTCATTTTTGTTCTAAATTTATATGTAACATTTCACTTTTAATTTATTTATTTTTTCGATCGAAAGGACGGGATAGATTCGAGGGAGACGCGAGACGCTAATTGGCCTCCCTAACTCTACGAGCACTTATAACACGGGCAATGTCACGAAGGTACGCCTCTTCACTTATAATGGGGCAAGAGCTAAACGCTGAGCAGACATCATTCTGCAAAGCACCAATCTGAGCTAACGCATCCGCAACCCGATTTTTCTCCCTAAAGACAACACAAATGGAGATTCTCCAGTTTTTCTTAAGCCATTGTTTGGCTTCCACAATAACTTCACGAATAAGGCCTCTAAGGTCATTATCTGCATGAATCCAATCCACCACCTTCTTTGCATCGCTCTGAATTTTAGCATCACGTATTCCTTTCTCCCAAAGCCATTTCAAACCCAAGGTGATGGCTTTGGCTTCCATGGCTTCTGGAGTATCCAGGTGCATGTTATAAGAAAGGCCGTCAATCCACATTCTAGATCCAAAAGAGAACTTACCTTATGATATGATTACTTTTAGTTCTTCAAATTTTGACTGAGCAGCAATAAACACAGGATTACTTACCTTTCTAGATCCAAAAAGAACTTTTTCCCCTCTGGTTGCTCGGGGGCAACCCTCTTCTCTGAGCGTAGTTGTTCATTCTCAGTTTTAATATTAAGAGGGAAAGAATCATGCTCTTCTAGCAACACCGCCTTTTCCCTGGACGGAAGAGGTAAATGGCGTGGGAGGAAAATGAGGGTAACTAAGACTATTATGAAATTATCAAAATGTCCATGATATTATCCCTGGTTTGAGAGAAATCTGACCTGAGGATCAAATTGACTACAATTTAAAGATCTGAGGGACCCAATTGAATGAAATTGACAATAAAAGACCACATTACAGATTGAAAAACAATTGAGAGACCAAAAGTGCGATTTATCTTAACTCATTAATTCAGTGTAAATGCAATCTAACTACGTACGGCATTATTATTATTTTACAAATATAATAATAATTTAACAAGATTAAGCGAATATATAATTAAATAATAAAAATTATTAAGCCAAACATCATAAAATAAAGTATAAAAATTGAAGCAATCACATGGCTCCTCGAGGGCAGGCTCTGGTTCCCCCCGATGAGTTTCTCATCTTGCCCCTAGACGTGGCTTCAGGTCTCTTGCATTTTCCCTGTTCTTGGTGGTACTTTCCTCCTAACTTGCAAAGTGCTAAGTCGGGTATCTTTTTGTTTTAAATTCCAAAATTGCATACTACCAATCTCGGTGTAAGGTTTATCTATCTTCCCAGAAGCAATGTATGGTGGGGAAAAATGCTCACTCTATACACTAACTTGGCGTACAACAAGAAATGGTTTAAACGTGAGCAACACACCAATTCCCTCAATCACATTCAGAACAAAGAAAACCATATGATTGCCTGCAATATAACATCTGGTTAAATCAACCTACCAATTCCCTTCTGCATTGTATAGAAAATGATGAAATGATTGTATTACTTCATACTAAGAGATGAGGAAATTATACTAACAAAGCTCCATTTCTTTTCTAGAAAATACAAAAATGGGCATCAAATTTGATGACAATATCCCTACCTGGAAGGAAGGAAGCATCTTGCCTCTTTTCTGACCAAGAAAATCTATCCCAAAAAAAAAAAAATTAAGAAAAGAAATACTGAAATGTGAATTAAAATTCTCAAGTGAAAAGGAAAACTCACAGTGCTCCAACTCCTACTGGACCTACAGTTTTAAACATTGACATTCCAGTCATTGCAACACCATTAGCTGCTGCTCTTTGATCTTGCTCCTACAATCAATCAATCAATCAGGTACAATAGATAAATACTCTTGCACAACAATTGCGAAAACACAACTGGAAATTATGAAATTTCCGACCACCAGAAAATGATCTTAAATCAAGTCAAAAACAAAAAGTGGTCGGAAATAACAATAAAGGTTTTTTCGGATACCAAAAGTGGTCGGAACAAGGCTTTCGACTTGATTTAAGATCACTTTCAGGTGGTCGGAACAATGAAAGGCGAGGTGCAAGTGAAATAGATTTCAATGATGGGAAAACAACTAACACAAAAAATTACCACAGCTTTGTTCTGCAGTATTAACAATCCTGTTGTAATTGCCATCTGAAGATAACCGAACAAGAAGTTGAAATGGTCCAGTTAGTGAGAGGAAATGTTTTCTTTAATTTGATACTTTTGCGACAATCATGTTAAAAACCTTATTCCTGACATGAAATTACTTACACCCAAAATGTTCTTTATGAGAGATGCACAATTTAACACTAGAGAGAGGGTGATCCCAGATAAATTTGCAATGTAGGGGTAGCTTGTCAGCAAGGGTATATATTGACATTATCTGCATATATACATGCAAGCATTCAACTTAAATCATCAAAGTAGTAAATTTCACTATTGGAAATTATGAAATTTCCGACCACCTGAAAGTGATCTTAAATAATCAAGTCGAAAGTCTTGTTCCGACCACTTTTGGTATCCGAAAAAACCTTTGTCGCTATTTCCGACCACTTTTTGGTATCAACTTGATTTAAGATCACTTTCAGGTGGTCGAAAATTTCATAATTTCCAGTAGTGTAATTTGTTTATTGAGAAATTTTGATATATCAGTTTGAAATATTGAATTGGTTACTTACTCCTGCAACTCGCATTATTGTTACAGGGCCAAAGGCTCTCTCAACCAGGGGATATAGTAAAACTTGAAAGACTAGAACGCTAAACCCTGAACACACAAAAGAATCGAAATTGAAGGAATAGAAAAGAATGTTTGCATAGGCTAAATATGCTCTTTGAAGTGATTTCAAATTGTATCTAATGCATTTTGGAGATGTTCTTACCAACGGAGGTCACAGAAGTAAAGAGACTACAATGTAACAATGGGAGAAAGCTTTTGAAAAACTATACTCCAATGTGATAAGAATCAAATTACTCCAAACTGACTGATAGGTCCTTATATCTAGTCTATGATAATGAAGAGTAAATCAAGTGTAGAAAATAAGTACAGGACGCGAGATTGTTAACGCGGTTGAATTCGCGATGCACACCAAAATAGTTCAAGATCAATTTTGCTAGCATAGTAGCATGATTAAGTACAATGACAAAAAATATTTATGCAACACAATCACATCCTGGTATCCATTAAAGTTATTCAAAAGTACCGCTTGAAATTGATGAACACGAGTCACGTGTGCCACATGATCCCTCAACGTACTGCTATCGCTTCAAACTCATGTCTGAACTATTAGGGCATCTTCAATACTGGGATTTTTGACGAGTTTTTATAGGTGTGATTAGAAAAGAGAAAATGGGAGAGGAGGGAAAAAAGAAAAAAAATCAAAAATTGAATAAAATAAAATAAAATTACGCGCCCGTGCACGCGCTCGCCTGGGCGCGAAAGTTGCGCCTCACATACGTGAGGCACATCTCTCTCTTAACACAATGGGACCTACAAACCTACAAAATTTGAGTTCTTACAAGAGCAACCCCCACACACTCTCTCTCTTTCAACAAAACAACATTTACCTCAAAAAGTGTGAAAAATCCCCTTAATGGGGATGCTCAGAACACATTGCAAACCACCCTTATATCAAATCATTAACTGAAGCAATACAATAATGGAAACAGGGTATATAGCACAAGCAATACTCCTCCTAGAAGTCTAGAACAGGCAAAAACTTAGTAGTTAGTACACCATCTTCTTCAACAATCCAACGTGCAGAGGCATAGGCTATCCCTCTTGATGAAGATGATAATATTTTCATATCTCGCTTCACCAAAATGGATTTTCCACAATTCTCAAGATAGGAAGACCCATTAATTTGGCTTCATTATTGTGAATTATATTTTAGCAACGCTCGCACTCTGAATTAAGATAAGATGATTTTGGTCCGCATGGACAACTCAACTAGTCATAGGGGTGAAGTTTGGGAAGAATGACCAGGATCGAGTCTCACCAATCCCAGTATGGGAGCAACCATGTTACTCTATCGGGCTCATAAGATGACTTTGGTTGCATTTAATATGACAGGAGAAGCACAACTCTGATGTTACCAAATCCTTTAAGATGAACTACAAGTGTCATGGAGAGTTTTTAAAGAATCATGAAAAACTATGTTTCAGACCACTATAGAGCATAAATCCTTTGGAAGAAGAACTAGTCAATTGGAAGAAACAATGTTGTTACTGTCGTAATATGACCTTGTAATTAGCTCAGTTTTTGTGTGATTGTTGTAACACCCCAGATTTTCAAGACATTTAAAACTTACAAAATAAAGGTGAAATCTCATTAAATCCCAAAACATAATACAAGAGTACGGGGTGCTATGCCACACCTGAGCTAGAAAACTCAGGTGCACCGGCTAACTAACTAATATCCTCAACAATGTAAATGCATAAGCATGGCACGCAGGCCGAAAGGGAAACTATCTACTTCTACGCTCCAAGTTCTAGCGCGCTCCAGTGACTTATTCTTCTGTGCCTGAAAGCCAAATATATATGTTCAGCGAGAGATGCTAGTAACCCACTCCAACGTGTTGAAATACAATACATATAGTTATATACATGGATATACGAAAAGTCATTTCGAAGCATGAAGATATATCCTAAGAGACTCTAGCTTTCAAATCAGGGAACCGACTCGACAAATAGGGGTACACACAATCAACAGTCATAATCAAGCATATACAATTCTCACATAGGGCACAGTTATAGATAAGCACAACCAATAATCACAATTAAGCATTACTAGCAAGAGCCCTATGGTCACGTTTCCATAACAGTCATATCATCAATTCTTCTCATCTCATCACATAGCACACTTTGTTGGCGCCACAGGACCAATCGCATGCCCATACATGTGGGTCAGCGCATATAGCTCTGACACAGCCCCGCAGCACCCTGCCCCGTCTCACAATACGGAGGGGTCGATCGCAACCGACCGATGAACCGCAGTTCTATATAATATTTATATACCTGACCGGTCTTTACCAGCCTGGTTAACAGTTGGGATGGTTCTCAACCCATTCAACTGCCCGTATAGTGGACCTTTGTCCTATATAATATTTATATACCTGACCGGTCTTTACCAGCCTGGTTAACAGCCGGTATGGTTCTCAGCCCACCCGACTGCCCGTATAGTGGACATTTGTCCTATATAATATTTATATACCTGACCGGTCTTTACCGGCCTGGTTAACAGCCGGTATGGTTCTCAGCCCATCCGACTGCCCGTATAGCCCGATTGATCTCAACCAAATCGGGGTGACATGCACACATAACACATAGCAAGCACATGCAACCCATATTAGCACATTGGGAAGGGGGGAAACGTATAACGAAACCTATGCGTGGTCATCCACAACTAAGAATACTCCTAAGGGGTTCATACTTCTTATACCTAGGTCAACGGGATACCAATTCAACTAGCATGCAATATATAAGACTCATACAACCTACGAACGGTACTCAAAATATCAAACTAGACATAGGCACGATAGACGGAATCCGTTGGGACACCACGGGGGTCGGGGGAACATCAAACGGGGAAGCCAAAATCCCAAATTGGGGTGTAAACCAGCGGGTGGCCGGTGGGTGAGGGTTCACCCGCCGGCTGCCCGCCGGCGGCAGCTATTCCGAGCAGCGGGTGTGATGCGTAGTATATTTGCAAACAAATAATACCCGGAGTATTCGGGTTGTCGAACCACAGGGAGATGGGGTACTAATCACTAATTACTCGCTTACTTATAAGAGCTAGTCTGATCGAAACTTGATGGTTGATTGGTTGCATAAAATAACGAGCAAGAAATAGAACAAATATTAAGGTTTTGTAAACAATAGAGCAAAATGGGATTCTTGGGATCACAATGTTTAATCACCTAGTGCCAATTAACGTTTGTAATATTTGGTTTGGAATTAAGATCTGTGTGGGAATGTAAAGTGGAATCGAATTACTCCCGTAATCTCTATTCCTAGTGAATTTCCACTCCCGTGGCTTAAACACCCGATAAGATCGAAGATCAGCATTCAATTATTCCTAATTACTACCATCTCCCGATGAGCAACAATCTAGAATTAACTTCCCCTAATAAATTCCCCTTTCCCAAGGTCTAACTATTAGGTGCAATCGTGTGTGCCCTAATTTATGCCCCAATTCCCATTGGTGACACAAATTTGACTATGAAGCTAGTAATTTAGGCCTTTAATTACCAACAGCAGCAGGTTAAGACAAGATTGCAACACAAATCATAAAAACCAAACATAAATATATTAAGAAATTAACGAACAAGGCACATAGGTTCATAAACAAACTCACCCAAGAATCCCTAAGGAATTTAGCCGCTCATGGCCATAATAACAGTAAATTCAATGCTTAAAGATAAACAAATAACAACGAGAATAAGAGTAAGAGTGAAAGAGTTCTCCCGAATCTTTCTAGCTAGTTCTCTATTCCAAAGCTAGTTGTAAATCTTCAAATTGGTCCTCTTTGTGCTTTGCTCTTGATTGCCTTCAAAACACCGAAATCGCAGAAGAAGGAGAGGCCTAGGGTTGATAGAAGATGATCTTTTTATAGTAGAAACCCGATGGCATCAAATTAGGAGTCTTCCAAATTAACGACTCTCCGCGATCTCGACGCGTCGAGATCATGCTCGACGCGTCGAGCCTCCAAAATGTGCGATGTCTGAGGCTACTGGAATTTTTCGACGCGTCGAGGCATGGGCTCGACGCGTCGAATTGCTGATGCTTCGACTTCTTCCTCTTTTGATCATTTCGTGCTTGAAATTCTTCCCTTGCTCTCACGCTCACCCTGTAATGGTGAAGAAAAACACTACTGAACACCGTAAGGCATTCAAAACAAGTGTAAAAACATAATCTAACGAGAAAGCAAGGAAAACAAGTAATAAATGGACATGATTCAATAACTTTGTTTCTAAAATGAATCAGAAAAGCTATAAAAACATGCACAGATGTGATAACATCACCCCCTCACACTTAAGACTTTGCTTGTCCTCAAGCAAAACACTGAATCAAACCATAGGACAAAACACAAGAATCGCTCCCAATTTCTCGTGCACAACTTAGCAAACCACAAGCAACTCACTGCAGGACACATGCTTCCAGAATCATCTCTGCTTGGCACCCGCGTTCTACTCCCAAGCCAACATACAAGCACCCAGATTCTTAGTATTGAGAAATCTAGTGTGCACACGTACTCAGTTAGGTTTATGCAAAACACGACATCAGAAAAACATCCTAAGCTTGCCCTTCCTACTCCTCCTGAATAGAACTAACATTGCATGTAAAGATCAAATAGGTCTTTATTAAGCTTGTAATGGGGCTAAGGGTCACAGTTTATAGGAAAAAAAAAGGTAAGGAATGATAACAAAGGGAGAGAATGACACAATTATCTATAGCTTTAAATCTTTAGAATAGAAATACGAATGATGAATAAGGGAGCAAAAAGGCAACTTATCAAGACCATAATAGCTCTGAAAGATAAGGGGGGTTGATATAAGGATTTTACTCAATCAACATTGGATTTGAGTTTATTTGGGATGAAGAAAGACCATAATAGCTTTTTTTTTTTTTTTTTTTTTTTTTTTTTTTTTTTTTTTTAAGATCAATACTGCAAACTGAATGAGAAAAGAATGGGTTTATTCAAGTAAGTAATAACCGAGTTGCTCTTAAGGTAAGCTCCAAAGAAGAATTCTCTTCCATAAGATTTTATTTCTAAAGACAAAAGTTACATTCTCTCAAAAGGGTGGAAGGATAATATTTGACCAAGGGTTATAGGTTATAATATGGGGGTAATTCAAAGAAAAAAAATATAATCACGAAGAGGTAATAAGTGCTTAGCACTTA